CCTCCACGCTTACAATGGCGATGTTGGTAGCAGAACTTCTGATGTCACAGAGCTCGACGAAGTACTCGTAACGATCCTAACGTGGACCCTTATAATACCAACAGGCGGTTCGTCATAGCCTAAAACCCAAAACTACGAGCCCAAGAAAGGATGTTCATGGTTCAGCCTTCCCAGAACTGGGTGGATCAGATCCTCAGCCTGAGCCAAAACCCATCGCCCAAGCCACCTTAGCCGTAGCCAAAGTCCCAACCTCCAAACTCTCTAGACTTAGCCTCGATCCTACACTTTTCCAAAATAGATCCCAAACCCCAACCAAAGCCGTACACCCCACGCCTTAGGTCATAACATAAGCCATAGATTTAAATTAAAAATGCACCAGCAAGCCTGAGCCCCCCCGCCCTGTTTCAACAACGCTCCCTGCGGCATGAGCACATGCCTCTTGCGGGACGCGCACGGCACCGGTGGTGGTACAGTTGTGGAGGCCTGTGTTTGTTCTGTTCTTTTCCTGTGTTGAAAGCCACGAACTTCCGCGTAGGCCTGTAGGCTTATCGATGTGAGATTCCAGCGGTAGTGCCAAGGCGTTAGTGTGTTATGGTTCAGGGGACCGTAGGGTTTAGGACTTGACGGATTTTGTGACTCCTCTCTTGGGTTGGGTTTCGGAGCGATAGGCTTTACAGAACTAAGGTCGACCTGCGATGAAATGGAAGCCATGTAGATGTCAGAAGATTTATTTACCGCGCCTTATTCGTACAGAGGTGTGTATATTTGCAAGAGCCCCAACAACTCAACCTTTACGTAAACCTGCACCAATCCAAGCCGTACAGCCCTGAAACTTGGCCGTAAAATCCTAAGTGCGAATCAGAACCCGTAAACCCTAACCCTTACACCTTCATTCTCAGCCTTTAGGCTTTGACTGTAGATCCTCGCGCTGAAATTCCAAGAGACTCCAAAACCCGTTAATTAAGGAATCTACCTTGAATTGCAACAGGAACCCTAATGGGATTTGGGTATATACGTTGATTAAGGGATTGTCGATACTTTGGGTTCCAGACCCGGATGCACCATACCTCCACGCTAAACCCTATGTTCAGGGTTTAGGCTCGGCTTTAGGCTTAAACTTCACCCTCAAATCGACATCCGATGCACCTTAAAACTTCAACCCTGAAGCCCGAGTGCTAAACGGTTCTAACATGGGCTGAAGTGACTTGAGAGGGTGCTGATAGGATTCTTTTGAGCAGCTTGTTTATGCTTTCAGTTTCAATCGTCTTCGTGGGTTTGGACAACGGGGTTTCATCTGTGGGTTGCATTCGGTGTGCATTGTTTTGCATGGTTTGATATCAGGTAGGCGCTTTCTTGCAGGGGGATGATTTGGCGAGTGCAATCTAGGGCTCCCTTGAAGACTGGCGGGTCTTTCTTCAGGGTGTCCTTATGGGCATATTGCTGGGCATACAAGTAGTAAACCTGCTATGTCAATGTTTATGTGTTGAACCAGGGCTTGGACAAGACCTGAAAGGGATTACATAGGGTCTAGGTTGTTGGCTTAGGGTTTCGAGCTGTTTCGGGGAAACCCTGAAGTAGATATCTGGGTCCTACAGTTAAGGCTTAAACGCCAACAAAGCCCTGAACCTTGAGTCATAATTCAAGTGTTACAGGTTTGAGGTGTTGAGCCCATACTGTGGATACCGGAATAGTTACTCATACTATTCCTTGGTCCCTGATCCAACCATACCCCAAAGCCTGCGAGCCAGTAGCACCGACCCGACCGGGGTTGAGTTTCAGGGTTTCGAGTTACCCAGGCATACCGTAGCCAGTGGCAAAAATGATAATAGATAGCAGTGAATACGAATCTCGCGGCATCTTGCGATAGCAGGCCCCTGGCTCCATGGAGATCACCCGACCGAATGCAGAGGAGGACTCGCAAGTCCGCAAGATGTGGGCCCCTACAGCTCGTACGTAACAATGCTTCCTTCCAGTCCCTGCTTTTCGATACTCTCTATCAGAATATACTCCCACAGTTTGTTCTATACTCCTCCAAGCCCCTATAATTATTGGCACCAAAGACACCCCTAGGCCTCTAAACCCTAAGCGGCCCTAAACCCAAAGTCCCTAAGTGAGAGGAGCTGGTGCAGGCCCACCAGCGGCCATCGGAATATTCGAACCTCGGCTTCTGTCTTTAATTCGGGGCGGGCTTAGAGGCGAAGACAGCGTTCTGGAAGAGCTGTGTTCCACAGCTCAGGTTTGGGTTTAGGGTTTAGGGTTTAGGGTTAGAAGTTTATCTGTGGCCAGATTAGCTACTTACTGTTGGGATGCTATACTACACGGACCCGAATAACTAGCCACAGTACTCTTTATGGTTCCCGATTGTATTTGTGTTGTGTAATCAGGCACCGCAGAAACCCTAGTCGAGAAGTTCAGGCGTGTAGATTACCCCGTATCGTCACAGTGTCATTTAGAGCTACAGGTGTGATAAACCCGAAACCATAAACCCTAAACTTAACCCTTGATTTGTGTCCTGGGCTCACATTCCACCTGATTCCGCTGTGGACCCGAGCTGCGATTGTGTGCCGGGCTGAAGCATCCCCAGCGACTCCAATAGTAGGAAGCTAATATGGAAACTTCTCTAGTCTGGGGCCCCTTGTAGGGTTTCCTTACAGGGATCTATCAAGGTTTCCATAGTGTTTCTATAAGGGTACTCTTATTGGGCATTTATCCTTTAGGGTCCGTTTTACAAGGCCGTACTTTTTTTGGGGGGGACTTAAAAGGGACCCTAATTTAGCGAGCTACGCATATGATTCAAGGTATCTTCGGCCCAGCTCAGACCAGCCTTCGCCTCGCAATATCAGATACGGCTTCTTAAGGGCCAAACCCTCCCCCAAAATCCCCAGACCCTTACAACCCTAAACCCTAAACCCTAAACCTTAAACCGTGGGCTGTGCTTACTCGGAAA